CTGATTAATAAATGGCAATGCAATTTAAGCTGCAGTTAAAATATCGAGTCGAAAAAGAAATCATACTCTCATATATGAACGATCTCCATGTGTGCATGTGCACATTTATGTTCATTTAATTGACTAAATATGAAAAAAAATGTAAATGCTTGATTGATCAGTGTAGAAATTGTGTAGTGAAAAAAGGAATAAATATATGATTGATTCTGAATCAAGCGGCTTGTCAAGCCTTTATATCTACAATGAATTTATGAAGGTTAAGATGTAGCATAACAGTAAATTGACCTTGAGAAGACAACAACACAAAGCTTGCTTTTTAAAAGGCCAATCAATTAAGTGGGTGTGACTTTGTTTCTCACCAGTGATCCTGCTCTGCTGTTTCCATGGTAACTCAGCTTCTAAACCTGTTTTTGTATCCCAAAGGCCTCTTCACCTGAGACCAAAGATGAGGAAGGACCAGCAGCACCAACCACATCAGCAGAAGAGCCTGAAACACAAGATGAAGTCTTCGGTAAGTTAATCAACATTAAAGTGTGCATTTGGATATGTCAGGTGCAAGTTGTACTGTTCACACTTGTAGTAAAACTGCTACAAAATTGTAACAGGAAGCACAATCACAGTAGAAGTTAAAAAAAAAAAAAAAAAAAGAAATGACACCTCTAAGCGGTCACATCTTAAGTGTTTCTTTATTTGTTTGTGAAATTTCTAACGATTCCCAAAATTTTCTTAATATGTGCGACATAAAGGATGGATTGATATAAAAAATGAAGCGCAGTGGCGGGCAAGTGTTTACCGCACTAGGGTTGAGCTTCCTTTGTAGAGTTGCTTTTTCTCCCCATGCTTGGATGCGTTTTCCGGATACAGCCTTCTTCCATACTCCAAAATGATGCATGTTAGGGACCTTGAAGGCTCTCTATCAGTGTTTCCTAACCTTCTTTGAGGTACCGAACCCAACCAGTTAATATGCACATACACGAACCCTTCATTAGTGGAAAAAAAATAAATTATATATATAATATATATATATTTTACAAATTCAAGATATATATTAAAAAAAAAAACAACACATTTATTAAAAACAGAAAAAACTAAAATTTCAAGACATAAGTGTACTTTTTTTTTTTTTAATTGTTTGACGTACTATCACGACAGTCACACGTTGACAACTGAGCGAACTAAATTTCCCGCAGCACTGATTGGACAAGCAATGTCATGTGATCATCTGCAGCCAGTGTTGACCAAGCGAGCGTGTCATAACTAATCGACATGTTGAGTCGGGTTGTCTTAAGCTCCATGGCAGAGGCTCCGTCGAACCCCTGAGACCGATTCACCGAACGCCTAGCGTTCGATCGAACCCAGGTTAAGAACCACTGCTCTAGATTGTCTTTTGGGATGAATGTGAGTGTGAATGTTTGCTTGTGCCTTGCGATTGGCTGGCAACCATTCCAGATACAGTATACCCTGCTTCAACTAACGTCAACAATGATAGCCTGCAGCTCACTCCTAACCCTAACAAGGGCATGCGCCATACAAAACAAAAGGAAGTGCTTTTGTGATGCTGCAACTCAGCTGATTAGGGCAGAGTTAGTTACATGTGTTCAGCACAAATTTGAGCAAATTTGATTGTGGAGTGTATATTTCATTGATGAAGGGTATTCTCTAACATAAATAAGTTGTCAATGCAAATCAATTGAATTCTTAAGACCTCATCACCACATAGGGTTTTGTGTGTGTGTGTGTGTGTGTGTGTGTGTGTGTGTGTGTGTGTGTGTGTGTGTGTTTTGGGGGGGTGTTTTGAGCACGCTGCATTCAAAGTTAAACAAGTAGCAGATGTTTCGCACTATAAGGCGCTTCGGAGTATCAGGCGCACCTTCAATGAATGGCCTATTTTAAAACCTGTTTTCATATATAGAGCGCACCACATTATAAAGTGCATAGAATAGAAGCTAGTGGCTGAGGTTGCATTATGCGTCCACGAGATGGAGCTATGCTAAAGGAAATACAATACAGCTTTATTTATGTCGAGCTTTCACAACCGTTGCAGCTCGAACAAAGTGCTTTACAGAGCATTTAAAATACTACGTCCAAGAAATCTGAATATTGATCCATAAGGTGCATCAGCATATGAGAAAATTTAATGCTTTTAGGTGCCCCTTATAGTGTGGAAAATATGGTACATACAACTGATGACAAAACATTTGACCCATAGTTGGAAAAAAAAAAAGTAAGTCTTGTATCCCCCGCTGGCTCTTATCAACTGTACTGAAAGAAACGGAGTTAATAAATATACAAAGTATCAGCAGCCTTTTCTCCTATTATTATTCGTGGACTGTTTTCAGTCGGTAACTTGCACCAGATTCTGTGTCTATGATATATTCAAAACAAATGAAGAGATGAGCGAGAAAAATTTAAAGGGAGGGGGGTCTCCTTTACAGTTCTCACAATGATTCATCATCAGCTGCTGCTGTTTTCTGTGCTCTACCTGTCGAAATGGTTGCAATGGTTAAGGTCAGTGGTTCTGATTGATATAATAGGTCACACCTAGCCAAGGAAACACCTGTCAGTCACATATTGTCATACTTTTGGCCACACGGAAAAGGGTTGGATTCAAACATAAGGTGCTATCAGTTCAACATAGTTCTCAGTCTTTGTAAATGTTTTCAGTAATTACCTCCGAAGCTGTATACTGGATTTAGAAACAAATCTCTGATCATTTAATGCAAATGAGCAATTCTGCGATCGTTTACTTGTTCAAGTTTATTGGTTCTGATTTTAGTGCAAAAAATAAAAAATAAAAAAAAGGCCAGGCTCCGTGACTCACCCCATGCTGTTTAGTGTCTAGGAGTACCTCCTTGCTGTACTTTCTGTTTGTGCTGCTTTACCACTGAAAGGCAAACACCTCCATCAGCTGGGTGCCTGTTAAAAGCTGATAATGGCTCCATTACTTGGACCAGCCTAAAGCAGACACCCACTCAGCAAAGCGAACCCCTGTGCGTCTGTCTATTGCTGACACATGCTATGTTACCATTTCTCCAATATGGCATGGAGAGCTGGGGCGGGACTGAATTGTGGTAGATGAATTGGAGTATAGAAACCCATCAGGGTTGAGGGCAAAAGTACAGTGGTCTTTTGTGAACGGTCTTTTGATCAGACAATGCAGAGTCTGACACATAGTGATAAACTAGTCTAATGTAGACCCATTATACATGTGCAGAGCATTGTGCGTGCATATGTCTCAAATGGTGCACTATTTCCCTTAAGTCTCACTTTTTTTTGTCCTCAAAGTACACTTTTCTGACTCAAGGCAGCATTTTGGCTAATAGTGATGTCTCATTTAACATGTCGCTAACAATTTTGAATGTAAAGATGAATAATCAGTTCAAACAAAGTTGATACATGTGCTGCAGCCTATCCCACCTGTCTTTGGGCAATAGGCGGGGTGCACCCCGAACCAGTTGCTAGCCAATCACAGTGCACATTTAGACACACAACGATTCACACTCACAGTCACGCCTAGGGACAATGTAGAGTGTTCCATCAACCTGCCATACATGCTTTTGGAATGTGGGAGGAAACTGGAGTACGCGGAGAATACCCACGCAGGCACGGGGAGAACATGCAAACTCCACACAGCTATATAGGCTGTAAAGGATTTGCAAATCATTGTGTTCTCTTTTTTATTCACATTTTACACAACATCCCAATTTCAGTAGAATTGGGGTTTCTATTAATCTGGAGTAAAGTTATGACAATTGGATGGTTCATGGAACACCCAGTCAGATTCCATCCACCAGGTGCGATGAAAACTCATGCTTCATATCGTCGAGTTAATTCATCTTGTAGGAACTGAAAGTGATTCAATAAATACCCATAGACAAGTGGGTGTATGCATACAAATGACACGGTAGTTTTGGGGCAATTCCTGTTGCCACGAGGCTTTTTGACTCAGTGTGGGGAAGTGACGTGGATTTCTTTCGGGTGGAAGTGTCTTCATACACAAGAGCTTTGATCTGGTTGTGACCTTGTGGCCCAGAGTTATTTGAATTTTGTGTTGCGTGACCAATCATTAAGTTGTTTGCCAAAATCCTATGGCGACGCTAGCATGGGCAGTTAATGCTTCCCCATATAACATCAGCCATCTGTCTGATACAATGATTCTGAAATTGTGGAAACACTAGTGGTATGCGAAATTTCCTCTGGTGGTACGGAAAGTTATCATTGAGTATTGTCACACTCGTAATGCTGCAGTGGTGTTGTTCACAAATTCTGTAATTTCAAATGTTATGGGGGGGGGGGGCACTAAAGGTAACAAACAAACCGGGAAACAAACTGGGCTTTTGTGATTGTCTGGGGGGGTGAAGGGACGAGGAGAGTGGGGCCCTCGAAGAATGCGTTTTTTATTCAGACACATATTGTTGGCTGTCCATTGCAGTACAGTTCCAGTTGAATCTTGTTTTGACTTAAAAACGACTAATCATTTGCTTTGATATCGAGTTTGTTGATAGCTCACTACTCGTCCTGGCTCCTTCGTCTAATCCAAGGCAATTACTTTACCAACTGTGACTACTATGTGACCGCCGGTGAAGGTACCAGATTTACTCAGGCTGCCAAAATGGCTTGGGCAGTTTTAAGTAGCAGCGAACAAACAGTGCAAACCAGTTAAAAGTTATGATTCTAACTCAGTATGTAGAATGTGGTTTTAGAGTAGTACCTCTACTTACGAATGTCTCTTCATACAAAATTGTTAAGTTACAAAACGTCTCAACAGGAAAAGATTGCCTCTTGTTCCGAAAGAAATTTCAAGATATGAAAGGTAAAAATACGGTATGGCCTGCTACTCACAGCTCTGAGTTTCCTGAACGCAACATACTTTAGAGCTGCGCTGCCATTGGCTATTACCAAGTAGCATCCTGGCATCTCATTGGCTAAGAGGGACCTCTACCGTATGTGTCTATGCAGGGTCCTCATCATTCGCCCCTCGGGCCATGAGGCGTTCTAATAGTTTTACATAAATGTGAATCACCCAGAAAAATTGTTCACCAGTGGGGCGATCGCTCACTATGCTGATGTTTGCCTTGAACATTTTCGAAGGATTGTTAAAAGCCGACAAAAGCAAACATCCTTGGATCAGTTCTTTTACAAAACGCCACATCTGACAGAGAACTTGAACTAAAGAGGGCAAAAAAACAATGAGGACGCAGTGAAGTTATATGACCATCATTATTTTTCTATACTTTTATTTTTATATATTTTTTGTTTTTTTAAATTATGCACAACTCTCATTTATTGTGCAATAATCTAATTGTAACATGTATTTGTTACATATTTTGATGCATTTTTATGCTTAAGAAAACAATTATGTTTGAATTTTGGCGGGCCTTGGAACGGATTACAGCATTTACGTGGAAAACGCGTCTCTACTTACAAGATTTTCCAGTTAAGAAATTTCTTTCAGAACCAATTAATTTCGTAAGTAGAGTTACCACTGTATTTGAATTTGGAAGTTTCCAA